TGAAGAGTTGGATGCTTAACTGACCCAGCCAGCTTTTCAGTGGCTGCATAATATTTTATAATAGTATCAACCAATTATTTTTTAAATAGTATGTAATTTCACTTTTTATTTTCTTCGTTAGCTAAAAAATGGTATAGGGGCATGTTTTTAAACCCCCAAGTGGCTAGCTTTTTGTTTTTTAACTACTCTATGTGATGGGTATAGTCTTTTTCTATTTTGAAGACATCAAATGCTCATCCCATCAAGTGCCCTCCTTAGTACCTGTCACCTGGTCGCCCCATCCTCCCCTCCTCTTCCCCTTTGCAGCCCTGTTTGTTTCCCAGAGTTAGGAGTCTCTTATGGTTTGTCTTCCTCTCTAATTTTTCCCCACTCAGTTTCCCTGATGGTTATAGTCTTACTGCTGTGGTCAGAGAATGTGATATGTCTGATAAAAGTGTATGTGATGTTTAGATTTATGCAATCTCTCCCCCCCACACACTCAAATATTCATTTTGTCATAAAACTTCCTGGGTTAATCTGATAGGCAAGTTTCGTTAATTTACTGTTTTAACCTGTGCTTCTTTTCTCCTGAGATAGAACACTTGTATGTATTCAGGAAACATTTGTATTTTTTTCAATGAACTGTGTGTTTGTAACTGTCTTTTTTTATCTTATAGATTTTCAGGAACTCTGTTCTGTATGAAAGAGATTAGCCCTTGTCTCTAGTATAGTATGGATTGCAAACATTTTCCATTTGTCTTTTGTCTTTGCTTATAATAGGCATTTTTTCTTTCTTTCTTTTTTTTTTTTTTAACAAATACCTATTTTGAGTCCCTGCTTTCAGTTCTCTTAGGTATATACTATCCTGCCTGATTTTTAATTTCTTTTTTTTTTATTCTCCCTTACTTTGAAGACTATTTAGACAGAGAACAAAGCCACTTGCCCTGTGGTTGGGTTCCTACTTGCACTTACTGTAATACCCTGGGGAGCCCCCGGGGGAAGGGCTTGTCTGGCTTTACTGTTTCCTTTTCCTCATAATCCTCCTGGGTCTCAACTTTGGAGCACTAGTCTATAAAATCCAGTTTTGAGTCCAACAGAATTTTCTGCTTTTCTCCTTAATTCTCCCCAGTTTAAAACTAATTGAAAATACTAGGATTCTTTTTTTTTTCTTTTTTTAAGATTGTATTTGAGAGAGAATGAGAGCCCGTGTACGAGCACCACCAGGGGCACACCAGAGAGAGAGGGAAAAGCAGACTCTCCGCTGAGTATAGAACCCGATGTGGGGCTCCATCCCAGGGCCCCAGGATCATGACCTCAGCCCAAGGCAGACACTTAACTGACAGAGCCACCCAGGCATCCCTGAAAATACCAGGATTCTTTAACATGTTTTTTTTTTTTTTTTAAGATTTTATTTATTTATTCGAGAGAGAGAGAGAGAGAGAGAGAGAGAGAGAGAGAGAGAGAGAGAGAGAGGTAGAGACACAGGCAGAAGAAGCAGGCTTATACAGGGACCCTGACGTGGGACCCGATCCCGGGACTCTAGGATCATACCGAAGGCAGGTGCTAAACCGCTGAGCCACCCGGGGATCCCGTATTTCTTTCTTTCTTTCTTTCTTTCTTTCTTTCTTTCTTTCTTTCTTTCTTTCTTTTTTGGGGGGAGATCCCCTCTTTAACACCAATCACCTCCTAGAAGTCAAAGGAGGAGTTAGGTTGTAATTAACTATTTTTATTTAATATTTCTTCTTGTGCCTCTATAGGCTTCCTGGCTCTATTAAAAAAGAAAGTCTATCCATGTACCATTTATCTATTGATCTATCCATACTTAGCTAGAACACGTTTCTATCCTCATCTCTCTTTAAAAATAAACTGGGGATCCCTGGGTGGCGCAGCGGTTTGGCGCATGCCTTTGGCCCAGGGCGCGATCCTGGAGACCCGGGATCGAATCCCACATCGGGCTCCCGGTGCATGGAGCCTGCTTCTCTCTGCCTGTGTCTCTGCCTCTCTCTCTCTCTCTGTGTGACTATCATAAATTAAAATAAAAAAAAAATAAAAATAAACTGAGTTTTTAACAGCAGTTTTAGATTTACAGCAAAACTGAAAGGTACAGAGATTTACCATGTATGGTCCGTCCCCCCACGTGTGGCCCCCCTTGTCAGCATCCCCCACCAGGGTGGCACATTTACTCGTGGACGAAACTGCACTGACACATCCTAATCACCCAAAGTCCATAGTTTACATTAGGGTTCACCCTTTGGGCCTGTTCATGCCACGGGTTTGGACACGTGTGCACCATCACGATACCCTAGAGTATTTTCATTGCTCTACGAAGCTCCTGTGCTCCACCTGCTTCTCCCTCTCTTCCCACCTGTCCCCTGGCATTCACTGACCTTTTCACTGTCTCTAGAGCTTTGCCTTTTCCAGAATGTCATGTAGTTGGAATCATACAGTGCACAGCCTTTTCAGATTGGCTTCCTTTTCATTTTTCATTTTCATCTAAGTCTCCTTGTCTTTTCATCGCTTGAAAGCTCATTTCGTTTTAGAGCCAAGTAACACCCCATTGTCTGGATGTGTCGCAGCTTATTTGTTTTCTGCTGAAGGACGCCGTGGTTGCTTTTACGCTGTTGCAGTTCTGAATAAAGCTGCTATAAACATCAGCGTGCAGGGTTTTGTGTGGACACAGTTTTCAGCTCCTTTGTGTAAACACCAAGGAGTACAAGTGCTGGGTTGTATGGTTATGAGTATGGAAGAAACTTGCCAAAGCATCTCTGATTATACTGTTTTCCGCTCCCACCAGCAACGAATGAGAATGAGAGTTCTCGCTCCCCCCATCCTCGCCACATTTGGGATTTCGGGCCACCCCAACAGGTGTGCAGCGCTTTCTCATTGTTGCCTTAGTTTGCATTCACTTAAGGCCTCTCCGTGGAACCTCTTTTCTTATGCTTACCTGCCATCTGTTTATCTTCTCTGGCCAGGTGTCTGTTGGGACCTTTGGCCTGGGCTTTATTAGGCTTGTTCCATTTCTTAATACCGAGCTTGAAGAACTCCTTGTATATTTTGGATAGTGGTACTTGATCAGATGCGGCTTTAGCAAATATTTCCTCCCGGGCTGTGGCTTGTCTTCTCATCTCTGCAGTGTCTTTCACAGAAATTTTTACATTTTAATGAAGTTTAGCCTATCAGTTTCTTTCTTTTGTGGATCATGCCTTTGATGTTGAATTTTAAGAAGCCATTGTGAAAGACTGCCAAAAAACTGCTCGAATAAATGAATTCGGTAGCAAGGGGGATACGAAATTAGCATACAGAAGTCGATTGCATTTCTACACACAATAAGAACTGTCAGAAAGAAATTTAAAAGACAATCCATAATTTTGGTTTTCTAACACTGGCAATAACCACAGGGAAAACCCGAGTCTGGTGGCATCTGGAATCCGATCTTCTCACACTGATGATACAAAGGCAGGTAGTAGAGTCATCAAGGGGTTTTCTTTTTTTTTTTTTAATTTTTTTAAATTTTTATTTATTTATGATAGTCACACACACACACACACACACACACACACACAGAGAGAGAGAGAGAGAGAGAGGCAGAGACACAGGCAGAGGGAGAAGCAGGCTCCATGCACCGAGAGCCTGACGTGGGATTCGATCCCGGGTCTCCAGGATCACGCCCTGGGCCAAAGGGCGCTAAACCGCTGCGCCACCCAGGGATCCCACCAAGGGGTTTTCATTCCCACTTAAACGCGGCACCTTGGAACTTCAGATGCAGTCAGGTTTGGTGCCCAGCAACAGGTGCCAACGTCTATACTGGAAAGAATTCTGGTACATAAATTAGATGGTTTCACCTCTGAGCCTCCATTTCTCTAACTGTAAAATAGGGATTACTAATGACAATGTATGCATAAAGTACCTGGTTCATCATCATGTTGCAGGAATTCTCTGCCTTCAGTGCGTGTGGTTTGTGGTCCTGCCACTTCGAAGGATGAAGAGATCAGATGAAGAGCGATGGGCAGCAAAGCGGTTTATTGAGCCAAAGTATAAAGCTCCTGGAGAGGGAGGGGGCCTGAGAGTGTTGCCCCTGGAGTTTCTAAGTTCAGGGGTTTTCTAAGCCCTGTGGCAGAGCTATCACAAGCCATCAGGGTGTGCTGAGTCACGCCAAATCAGGCTTTGGTCACGTATCTTTTAGGTTAACGTCAACGTGCGGATGGTCTTTTTTGCTGACATCCGGGGCCTTAGGTCTTCACGGCCCCTTGCCCGTGATAGTGACAAACACCTCGTGGTTGATTGCCTTAGTTTAGAACATTTCGCAGAAGTCATTTCTGCAAAGGCTGCAAAGCAGAATGCTAGTGTGGTCTGGTCTGAGCTAAAAACACGTCAGTGCTGTTTGATTTTAGCTCCATATCTTTTGGGGGCCCCTGGCCCTAACTATCCACCCCACTCCTAACACTAAGGGCTCAGTGATAGGTATTGCTGTTTGCAGGGTTATTAGCATGCTTTCAGGTACTTATGTCTCCTGTGACTCTAACACTCCCTCTGCCAAAGAAGTTATGGATAAAATTCTAGTTTCCAATTGGCTACCTATACATGAATCACTAGGCACAGAGAAAAAAGAATGGAAGAAAAAGAAACAATTTCCTTAGCAGTATGAGCCAGGCAGCATGCGGCGTAGCTGAAGTTTCCCATCGCAGGAGGTAGGTCTCTGCGGGGAAAGTGCAGGGAGGGAGGGTGCACAGCAGGCTGCAGGGCCTCAAGCAGCCCACGACCCTTCCCCGACCCTTCCCCACAGAGCTATTTCTAAAGGGAGCTGGTGCTTCTCCTGCAAGTGCTGTACTTGCCCAACTCCCATGCGGGTTTGGAGGTGTGGGTAAGGCCCCCACCAGCACAGATCTCACCAGGAAGGCCAGGAGCCACAGTGGCTATTTGTATTCTGACAGTTTCAGGTCAGTCGTTAAGGTTGGTCAGGTTGAAATGAACAAACAGGGAAATGAAGACACTCCAGAGCTAACTGCTATCCATACACAGTGTACTTTAAAAATGTTTTTATTGAATATTAAACAGTTACAAGTACTGTTAGACATTTAGCCAAAGCACAATTACAGGTTAAATATAATCATAAAGATGTCTTAAATAGAAACCCACCATGCAGGCAGGTGAAGTTCCTTGATGCCCTCTTTTAGAAAGCAGAGGGCGAGGGAAAAAAGGTCTTCCATTCCACGTGAAAGACAGTGAAGACTACAAGGATTTACATGCTGTGAGCGATTTCCCATGACCAAACTGACAGGGTTGCCAGATTTAGGAAAACAGAACAAAGCAAAAGGCCAGGATGCTCAGTTAAATTTGAATTTTAGATAAATAATAACTTTTTTTTTTACCGTAAATATATGCCAAATAATGCATGAAACCTACTTAAGCTAAAAAATTATTTACCTAAAATTCAAATGTAACTGGGTGTCTTGTATTTTATCTGGCAATCCTACAAACAGACAAATGCATAAAAGCAAAGAGAGGGGATTGGAACCCCCTGCCACTGGTGGGTCACACAGAGACTAAAAATAAAAACAACACTGATAATGGAATCACTACGATGGTTACTTACACAGAGCAACATCACAATGGGAAAATACGATTACCACTCCAAATGCTGTTGCCAGGAAACATTCTAGATTTCCTCAAAGCTGGTTTGGTAAATGTTTTTGAGAAACCTTGTTGATAAAAGTACCTTTTTAGTTTGTAGCTATCAAAGACAAATACAACTACCACAAAGACCAGTGAGCTTGAAACAATGGAAGCAGAAGCAGGTATTATATGCACATGAAGAGTTTAAATATTTTGTGTAATGAATACAATGGTTATAGGGTCAAGGTCATCTTCTAGGTCTAGGCTATTGGCCTCAAACATTTTGGTTCCATTTGTACTATTGTGTTTTCTAGCTTCTCATCCTGAACCTTGGGGAGGGGTATGGGAGTGTGTGTGAGACACCCACTACCAGAGTTTAACTGCATTTCTTTGCAAACACTCTGAATCAACAAAGGGCTTTCAGGGCAGCCTGCAGAAATGCGGAGACAGACAAAAAGTAGCAAAACAATCTGAATTGTGGAGCATTAGAAATCTGTTTGAGAAGATGAGTAGTAGGGTGGGTGTGAAAGTGTAAAGCAGAATAGAAAATGTGAATGAAGGGAGTCCAGATGCAATCATCCGTGCGGTGTGACTATTATTTCAAAGGAGGCAGGACCCCCCCACTGGCAGATGTGTAAAACTGGTCACACCATGAGCGGATTTGGTCTTACAGGGTATACAATCCGGAGCTTCCTACTGCCCTTCACTCATAACCATGGCTTATAATTTAAAATGATTAAAAAACAGCATGGGCAACACTGAGATCCCACATGGTATCTTCATGAGATGCTGCTGTGTCCCCCCACACACAACACTGACTAAGTTTTGAAATCTTGCTAGCATTTCTTTAAACCAGAATATCTGGCAGCTGAGGAATTTCAGACATAGAGAAATCGGGAGAGATTGATTAGATCCGCTCCTTGGCATGTAAAGGGAGCATGACTTATGAAATATACCCTCATCAAATCAGCTTAACGGGTGTGACATACATGGAGACGTACCCGGCTCACTGACACCTTTCAAACACTAAGAAATGGAATTACAACTTTTTCTTTATTAGGCTATAAAAGGTTAAAAAGTTTCTGCCATAGTTAAGGCTTTCTTAAGAAACATTTAATTGTCTATTAATTTCAGAATGCACAAGGTATCTGGAGACGCCTTACTTTTTAGGATGGTTTTTTAAAAAAGCATTTCCTAGTCATATGCTAAAAGCGTCCAACCAAAGCTCAAATATTATCTTCACAATCTGCCTTCTTTTCATTTTTCTGTCCCTGATTTGACATTGGTCAAGTTTAAGTTTCATCTTTCCAGTGAATTTCTGACACACGAAATCCTACCTTTATGTCAGTTTGAGTGTTCCCTGAACGACTACAGTCTATGGCTCTGTGGAAGATAACTGCCCAACAAAAATCACAGCAAGCAGGCTGCTGATCACACATTATCATACAAGTGGGCTCCGGCCGCCATGGAGGCAAGGTGCTTGGAAACACACCATTTCTGATTGCAAGGCTGTCTGCGGGAATCTAAAGAGCGCACGTGTTTAGAAAGGGAGAGTGAGCAATGGCCAATAACCCTTGTGCAGTTGGCAGATGCACTGAAATAAAGAAAAACCTAGGCGACTTATTGCATTCTACTGCTCTTCGAGCACACACCAAAGTGTTATTTTTTGTATAAAGACTATAATAATAGAATATTAATCTATATTACTTTATTTGCCATATTCAGGCAATTCTCTGTATATATCAACGCACTTTGCTATTTTGAGAGCAAAGGGAAATTAGTCTAGCTGCTGACATCAGGGTCAAGGAGCACAAGGATGCTGTCATGAAAACATCCGAATATTATTTATTCTACTTATGTTACTGGAAAGCTAAAAAGTCCAAGAAGGAAAAGGTAAGTAAGAATCCTGGTTGTACTGCTATTATTTTGCATAGAAGTAAAATTCTGGTTCCCATGCTGTCGTTTGTTAACACATTGGCAGAACCTGCGGAGCAGAGCACATAGGACCTACTAGCCGGTCTGGTTGTGATATGGAAACAGAACTACAGTCTCCTTTTGCAAGACTCAAGATGAAGAAAGGAAGAAAATGAATGGGGTCCTAGGTAACTACTGGAGCTAATTATAATTCCAGACTAGCAACCTGGGGAAAAGGGAAGGAGGCCAAGTACAAGGACAAAGTGTCCAGTCCAGAGCATTTAATTTACGAGTCAAGAACTCAGCTGGCAATACCCTGTAAGCTGGAACCATCAGGTCTAGGTTTGATTTTAGAACTGCAGTAAAGCTGGTGGAGGTGTCCAGATTCTCTCTTCCATTTGGTTTGGGAAACACATGGGCCATCTCAGGGGAGGCCATATCGGAATTCCTCATCTTGCTAGTGTTCCTATACAGCACATATACAAGACACTAAGTGGATTTTGGCCTAAGTTAACATCATGCTTTTATATTCCAAAGGGTTTTTCACGCTGCTACAGACGGAAGTTCCAAATGTAATTAACTTTTGCTAACTTGCGGGCACTCATGATGACCTTTGGTTTTCAAGTTTTGAAAAAATGTATTTGGCTCCTGTGAAATATCAATTAACCCATTCTCTTTAGCAGATGAGTAATATATACACATTCTTTCAATAACTACTATACACTTGAATCATTACAAGACAAGAAGCACTGCAAATGTCTTCCTTACACAGTACCTTTACTCGGCACACAGAACATCAGATACATAACATTGGCAGTTTAAATACTGAACCACAGTTTGACTTCTCAAGTGTAAGGCTGAAGTTTAAAACATCCATTAATCTAGTTAGTGTGATGGAAACGACATATGACCACAGTCGAATAGTGGCTTATCTTTTTAATAAAGCTATGAAGCTTTGATATCTATACCATATTCACCTTCTTACTGAACTAAAAATCACAGCTGTGTTTACCATTTTAAACTCTATCTAAGTGGGGAGGCAAGTAATATACACTTTCACAGCTACTGGAAACTATACAGATGCCATTTCTTCATCCCATTGTTATGCACAGCAAAAAAAAAAAAAGGAGAGGGGGGAAAAAGCCCTCTTAATAAAGATGAAACTTGGAAGCTTCATATGGGATTCTAGTGCTATTAGACAAGTAGTCAAGACACAACACCCAGCTTGGGTCACTAAAACTTCAATAGAAGCAACCATTGAGGCTAATTCTTGATTTCACGTTGAGGACCCATGCAAGATTCTGCTACAAAACTCACACTAGTTCCCAATGCCTAGTTCTAGTGTTGGATTCAAGCCAGAAAGAAAGCTAAATGTATATTTTAAGAGCCTATTCTAGAATTTTTGCATGTCACCATTTTATTTTCCTTTAGGAGATTAAATGAGGTCACAGCTTAATGAGCCTGCATTAAAACACAAATTAGTTTTCGGAACTTTAAGTTGAAATGGCAAGTTTATGTCACACTGGTTTTCCTTTTTTTTTTTTTTTTTAGCCACATACATGTATGTTATTTTTGTTTCAAAGCTGAGTAGATGCCACAGCATGTCAAATAAATTAATGCAGTCGATTCGCTGTTCAGTTAAGGTGCAAAGGGCAAGTGTAAGATCTGTAATGGATAATCCCTTACAAGTGTCAATGTGCACTGGGCAAATGTTGATTAAATCACACAAAGTAGCAATTTCCTGAAGAAACATATAGTATTTCTCCACCTTCCTTTACAAAAATAACCGAAAGAGCTTTGGTTTCAGTTTCTGTTCTCCTTGTCTGTTAAGAAGTTTGAAGAGATGGTTTGCAAATGTAGCGCCGGGACCTACAGAAACTATTTGAAGCACCTCACTCAAAATAAGCCCCAAATCTGGAGGAAACGCAAAAGTTCTTGCATACCTACTTACTAAAGAGTGTCTGAATCCTAGCTTTCTAATCTGGAGAAACAATAAAGATTTTGGTGACTCTAATGAAGAACAATAATTCCACTGAATTTGGCAATAAGGCAGCTAATGTTGGGGGCGACTACCCGTTGGTAGGGATGCAGTGAAGAGAAGTACTCTGTGAGCAGGCCCTGCCATCCTTTCCCGCAGCGGTAGTAGGGGTGCACAGCTCTTCCCCCACAGCCCTCCCTCCCTGTGGTTTTGGCCACACATCACTCCGACCTTTCCCTGGCTGTGCGTCTCTGGGTCTCTGGCAATGTCCTGCATGCCTCCGGCGCAGGCTGTGATCCATCAGGAAGAGCCAGGGGCCCTCAGCGGCTTTGACTTCTCTGAACCTGGGAGCTCCTCTGTCAGACTGACCTCTGTGCCTCTCCCTGGTAAGACTGGCCGATTCATAAAAGGAAACTAAAACGTGATGTTCTTCCTTCCCATCCCGATTTACAATGAGAAGTACGGATACAAAAGAAATCCAAGTGAAAAAAAGGGGAAACTAAGTCTTGCTCAGCCAGAAGCTTGGGTTGAATCGCTAATGATTTTAGTCAGTGTGACTTTGTGCAAAATATCCTCAAGAAGGCTCTGGCTCATTTTCAAAGTAAACCAACAAACAAACAAAACAAAAAAAAAAAGAAAAGGAAAAAGAAAAAAGACGATGATGCATGTTTAAAAAAATTAAAAATGAGCCTATCATATGTGTACATCTCGTACATACATGTGCCGTATATAACAAAGCAAATGTAGTGTGAAGAGTGAAATCTGGGAAAGTATCAGTTACGTTTTTTTTTTTTTTCCCATTTCCAAGCCTAGATCAAAGCAATCTCATTTTAGAAATGGACACTTGCAATGCAGTGAGCCTGAGATATGGTAAAAGGCCGCCCCTGTAAACATTTCCTCAAAGAGAACAGTAGCAGGTGAGTATGTGTCAGTTACTCATACTATATTCATCACTATAGCAATGCTTTATAAAGGATAGACAGCTTCTTTCTAGGCTGTCAGGGATTGACGGAATATTGATTTTGTTGGAAACAATCCACTGTAATCCAGTCCCAGGTTGAAATCCAATGTGGCCTTTACCAGTGGGCATTCACTAGGTCTTCTGCTCGGCGGCTGTGGCGGTTTGTGCCGGAGCTTCTGGCTTCATGATCTGGTATGTGATGAGATACTCCGGGTATGCCTGCAAAGGACCAGAAGAAAAATAAATCACTCCTTTGGCAGGTACAGTCTTAAGTGGAAATCTCAGAGGCCGGTGATCCTCATCAGTATTCTGCAAACACCCAAGAGCCTGCAAAGGCCAGCTAGTTAATAGGTGCCTAAACAACACGCACGCACACACACACACACACATACACGCATACACACGCATGCAAGACACACCTGTATTTTGCATATAAACATGTTTAGACTCTATAATCTAGAGAACTGCTTATTTCCACTCTGAGTAAAGTACTGCATTCATCTTTCATGCGTAAGCCATTAACCGGAAAACTAAACACAGGAGAAAATCTCTCTCTTCTTTACCTCACCTGACATGGTGCTGTCACATAGCATATGTTTAATAAAAGTTTGTTAACTGAAGGAGTAATCTGGCTGAGCCAATTTCAAATTAATTAATCCCAACTCTAACCCACTGAGCTAGAAGGAGGAAGGGTGAGGCTTGTTGAGTCACCAGTGATTTAGAGGCAACAGTTTGGAGATCATTTTTAAAAGGTGACTAATAAAAGGCAACTTTTATAGGTAACATAATGGTTCACCTTTAGACCCTCCACCCCATTTATTTTCTTTCTCTTTGGTCTCTTTTTCTTGCAGTATGTAAAATAAAAGTCTCCATATCTGGAACAGAAAGAATACTTCTTTGAGGAAATCACTATCAAGATGACTAGGCTGGGGGAGGCCAAAAAACCCCTTAAAACCATGTATACTACATAGAAATTCTTCAGTCTGAAATATGTTATAACTAGATGCAGTATTTCAGAGTGGACTGTAGCTGGAAACTAATATTCTTTGGTGAGTAAGTATTTTGGGCCCAAAAATAATTTGCTGAATGCTGATTTACATTTTACTTGCATATAGATACAGAGTAAGATAATACAAAGAATAAAGGATACAGAAACTGGACTTTCAAAAAGATATAAGAATGTCTATATTCACTGCAGCATTCTTTATAGTAGCCAAGATACAAGGAACCTAAGTGTCCATGGACAGAAAATGGATAAAGAAGGTGCAGTGTATACACACACACACTGGAATATTACTCAGCCATTAAAAAATGTGATCTTGCCATTTGTGACAATATGGATGGCCTTGCCTCGGAGTATATTTGTTAAGGGAAGTAAGTCAGACAGAGAAACACAAATACCATATGATTTCACTTATATTTGGAATCTAAAAAACAAAACAAATGCAACAAAATACTAGTAAACCAAATCGAATAATACTTTATAAAAAAGTCATTTACCACAATAAAGTAGAATTTATTTCTGGGTTGCAAGGGTAGTTCATTACTTGCAAATCAACCAATGTGATACATCTTATCAATGATAGAAAGGTAATAACTATATGTTCATTTCAATAGAAATGCATTTGACAAAGTACAACATCCACTTATGATAAAAACCCTCAACAAAGTAGGTACAGAGGGAACATAGACCATATATGAAAAACCCACAGCTCATATCACTCTCAATGGGGAAAAACTGAGACCTTTCCCACTAAGGTCAGGAACAAGACAAGGCTGTCCACTCTCACCATTTTTATTCAACACAGTACTAGAAGTTCTACCTACAACAATTAGACAACAAAAAGAAGAGGCATCCTAATTGGCAAGGAAGAAGTAAAACTTTCACTATTTGCAGATGACTTATTATACTATATACAGAAAACCCTAAAGACTCTGACTCAAAACTGCTAGAATTGATAAATGAGTTCAGGAAAGTTGCAGGATACAAAAATATTGTACAGAAATTTATTGCATTATATATACCAATAACAAAGCAGCACAAAGAGAAATTAAGAAAACAATCCCATTTATAATTGTACCAAAAATATTAAGATACCTAGGAATAAGCCTAGCCAATGAGGTGAAACTCATACTTTGAAAACTTGCATGGGGATCCCTGAGTGGCGCAGCGGTTTGGTGCCTGCCTTTGGCCCAGGGCGCGATCCTGGAGACCCGGGATCGAATCCCATATCGGGCTCCCGGTGCATGGAGCCTGCTTTTCCCTCTGCCTGTGTCTCTGCCTCTCTCTCTCTCTCTCTGTGACTATCATAAATAAATAAATTAAAAAAAAATTAAAAAAAAAAAGAAAACTTGCATGGGTGAAAGAAATTGAAGATGACACAAAGAAACAGAAAGACATTCCATGCTCATAGACTGGAAGAACTAATATTGCTAAAATGTCTATACTACCCCCAAAGCAATCTACACAACATATAATGGAATTCCTATCAGAATACCAACATATTTTTCACAGAACCAAAGCAAATAATCCTAAAATTTGTATGGAACCAGAAAAGACCCTGAAAAGCCAAAGCAGTCTTGAAAAAGAAAGTAAAGCAGAGGCATCACAATTCCAAGACCTCAAGTTGTATTATAAAACTGTAGTAACCAAAACAGTATGGTACTGGCACAAAAATAAACACATAGATTAAAGGAACAGAATAGAAAAACCCAGAAATAAACCAATAATTATATGGTCAATTAATCTTTGATAAAGCAGGAAAGAAGATCCAATGGGAAAAAGACTGTCTCTTCAACAAATGGTATTGGGAAAACTGGAGAGCAACATGCAAAAGAATGAAACTGAGCCACTTTCTTACACCATACCCATAAAACAGAATTCAAAATGAATTAACGACCTAAATGTGAGACCCGAAGCCATGAAAATCTTATGAGACCTCACAGGAAGTAATGTCTCTGACATTGACTGTAGTAACTTTTTTCTAGCTATGTCTCCTGAGGCAAGGGAAACAAAAGCAAAAATAAAACATTGGGACTCCATCAAAATAAAAAGTCACTGCACAGTGAAGGAAACAATCAACAAAACTAAGGGCTACTTATGGAATGGGAGAAGATATTTGCAAATGACATATCTGATAAAGGGTTAGTATCCAAAATACATAAAGAATTTACATAGCTGAACATCCAAAAAACAAATAATCCCAATTAAAAAATGAGAAGACATGAACAGACACTGCTCCAAGGAAGATATACAGATGGCCAGCAGACACCTGAAAAGATGATCATTATCACTCATAATCAGAGAAATGCAAATCAAAACTATAATCACCTCACACCTATCAGAATGGCTAGAATAAAAAACACAAAAAACAATAGGTGTCGGTGAGGATGTGGAGAAAAAGGAACCCTCATACACTGTTGGTAGGAAAACAAACTGGTGTAGCCACTGTGGAAAACGGTATGGAGGTTCCTCAAAAATTAAAAATAGAACTACACTATGATTCAGCAGTTGCTGGTTACCCCAGAACTACCCTATGATCCAACAATAGCTGGTTACCTAGAAGATACAAAACACTAATTCAAAGGGATACATACACTCTTACATTTGCAGCAGCATTATTTACAGTAGTTAAGACATGGAAACAGCTCAAGTGTCCAACAATTGATGAATGGGTAAAGAAGAGGTTGTGTATACATACACACACACACAGTTTATCACTCAGTCATAAAAAGAATGAAATCTTTACATTTGCAATGACATGGATGGAGCTACAGAGTATAATACTAAAGTAAAATAAGTCAGAGAGAAAGAAATACCATATGATTTCACTCATATGTAGGATTTATGAAACAAAACAGAGGGGAAAAAAGAGAGAGAGAGAAAGAGACAAACCAAGAAACAGACTCTTAACTATAGCGAACAAATTGATGGTTATCAAAGGGGAGGTGGGTGGGGGGATGGGATTTATATGGTTAATGAGGATTAAGGATGGTATTTGTGATGAACACAGGGTAATGTACGAAGTGCTGAAATACTATATTGTAGACCTGAAACTAATATTACACTGTAGTATGTTAACTGAAATTTAAATAAAAACGTAAAAAGAAACTTAAACAAAAATAACCAAACAAACAAACCCACCAAAAAACAAACAAACAAAAAAACCCTCCCAACCTCATAAATACAGAGAACACACTGGTGTTTGCCAGATGGGAAGGTGGGATGGGCAAAATAGGTATAGGGATTAAGACAGAATTCTAGTTTTAAAACAAGTAAGTCATGGGGATAAGAAGTATAGCATAGAGGATACAGTCAATAAAAATGAAAAAAAAAAAAACCCTGGCATGTTTAGTTTTTTCTTTTTTTAAGATTTTACTTATTTATTCATGAGAGACACAGAAAGAGAGAGAGAGAGAGAGAGGGAGGGAGAGACACAGGCAGAAGGAGAAACGGGCTCCATGCAGGGAGCCCAACGTGGGACTCGATCCCAGGTCTTCAGGATTAGGCTGGGCTGAAGGTGGCGCTAAACCACTGAGCCACCGGGCTGCCCAGTATTTAAAATGAAGAAATAAACATGTGATAGACTGAATTATTTCTAATTTTACGCCTGATTTTAAGAGGCAGAAACTGTTATATAGGTCCCATGTCCTCACCTATAAATGGGAACAGTAATAGATTCTTGTGAGGATTAAATTCAAAGTTCTTAGAATAGGTTTGGCACATAGTAAGAATCTAGCATGTGTAAGTTATTAACATTATTATTGTGGTCCATTAAAGATAAGTCCATTTTGAGGGGAACTCAACGAGAATAAAAAGAACAAAAGATGTAAATTTGTTTTAAAAAGATTTAACTATCTGTACACATGCCAGGAAACACTATTACTCATAATATTCTTTCTCAAAATTCTAGGCTGCTCTGGTTTGATCTAAAAAGAACAATGGTTTCTATCTTCTTAGTACATAGAGTTGGAGTAACATGACTAACATACTTCATCTCTCTTGACTTTCCAATCTGAAGCTTCAATAACTGAAAAGTTTGTAGTTTTATTACAATTTGAACACTGCTTAATTCTCGGAACGATATTCATTCATTCATTCATTCATTCAAGACACAGGGAGAGGCAGAGACATAGGCAGAGAGAGAAGCAGGCTCCATGCAGGGAGCCCGACTTGGGACTCCACCCCCCAGACTCCAGGAATATGCATGGGCTGAAGG